GTTTCGGGGTCGGGGCAGGGTTTAGTTGGAGCCGAGACTCGGGCAGTTTCGGGGGCTGCCCAGTTCGGGTTGGGGACGGAGGTTTTCGAGCCTGTTCCTCCTGCCATGGCTCTGGGTCTTACCAGTGGCCCTTTCTTGCTGCCTTTTCCCTGGAGTCTTCCTTTTCTTTAAGGGCAGAGAGCATGGAGGACGGCTGTGCCCTGGGGCCTCTTTTGCGGGTTCCCGGGGCTGTGCTGGATGCCTGCTAGCAGTTCTGGGGCTGTTTGCCCCGGCCTGGATTTTCTGCTTCTGGGCGGAATTTTTCGTCCATCTAGTCTGCTTGCTTCCCACATTTGCTGGCGTGTTTTCGTATCTATTGCTTTCACGGCCCCCTGTTTCTGGTGGCCATTTTCTTCTGCTGGTATCCCGGCCTGGCCACCAGGGCGGCATTGCGGTTTGTTTACATGCGCCTGGGTGTCTGAGCTAGCGTCTTGGGTGAGTTTATCACCTCTTTCAGGGGTTTGTGCTTCTCTGGTGTTTTCTGCCTGTCTTCTGTTCCTCTGGGAACGCTTGGGTGTTGTTTTTTACACCGGTTTTTCCGTTTTCTGTCTGTTTTTGGTCTGGGCCCTGGGGTTTGGGCTCAGTGTCCCTGTCTGTTTATGCTTGCTCCCACACCTTGTCTCTCGGCTTTCTGTCTGTTTTGGCTGATTCCCTGGGGGTTCTGTTTGGGGGCTGTGCTTTGCAGCTTTCGCTGCTGTGTTGGTGACGTCTAGGGCTCATTTCGGGCGTAAAGATTTGAGGGTCGCACAGGTTCCTGGCCGCCCGTTCTTTATGTGCGTGTCTGCTCCTGTCTGAGTTTGTGGCGGCCACCTTCAGGGTCATCCCTTTCTTTTCCTTCTCTTTGGGTATGAAGTTCCAGGGAGCCGTAGGGGCTCCCCACAGAAAACCAGCGTTGAATGTAATGAAACGCCATTTTCTGGGTGAGCTCCGGAGGCTCCCTGGCAACCCTCCCTCCCACCGGTCGGCGGTTTTTTGGCACTGGTTGAAGCTTAGCTTCCTAACTGATGCTAGGCAGCTGGTACGGTGAGGTCCGGGGGCCCCCCTCCCTTTCTCGGGGCGGGGAGGGCTGCACGGACGATCGGCGCGGCAGTAAAGTGTGATGTTTGCTTGTTTCCTTGGGATTGTAGGGAGCTTCTACCTCTCTGTTCAGTTTTGTGTTTTAGCCTTTTACCATGAGAGGTTTGTTTTGTTATGCCTACCTTTCTGGGTGCCTAACCCTGGTCGATGGCAGATAAGGAAAACCCCCACAACAAGGGGAGTTTTCCAGGGTCATTGCTCCCTGAAACCTCTCTGAAGGGGCCAGATTCTGGCGCTGGTCCCTGGTAGGTCTGAACTTCTTAGCTAATGTCCCAGTCTAATATAACATACATTAGCCAGATAAGCTCCAGGGAGCCTCCGAAGCTTACCCAGAAAATGGCGTTTCATTACATTCAACGCTGGTTTTCTTGCCTCTCTCCTTTTTCTGAAGGAGTTTGTGTCACCGGTTATTTTGGCTGCCGCTCCTACCTTTCAGTCCCTCAGTTGGGTTCCTTTGATGAATGATTCTGTTCCTTTTGCTTGGAAGCAGATTGCCAGGGTTGGGGCAGGCCTCCAGTGGAGTCTGATTCCTGGGCCCCCTGCACTTCCTTCAGCAAGTGCCGCTTCTGCTTGGGGGGGTCTTCATGATGGCCCATTCGCAGTGTGCCCACTTGACCACATTATGAGGGTACATCTGGCCCATTTTTCCAGTTCCTGGTCCCACGATTCTTTGAATTTCCAGGATCTCCGGTCAAGTTGGTTCCTTCCCCCCCCCCCCAACTTTTCCCCATTGGTTAGGTTTTGGGGTGTTGGGTCGGAAGTTCACCCCCCCATCACTGTGTGGCTATTGTGATGTTGATAGACTTGAGGTGGTCAAGTTAACCTCCTCTTCTTGGTGGGAGTCCCAGTTGTTGCTGGTCTGGGACTTGGCAGACCTAAGGTATGTTCTTAACATCTCAAAATTTAACAGTTTCATTCCCTGTCTGACCTTCCACATGACTGCTTCAGCTCAGGTTTACCTGGTGTTGCAGGCCGAATCCTAGATGGTGTCCTGGACCTCAAGGACACATGCTGGCACATGCACATTCATCCGAGACTCCAGGAAGTAGGGTTTCTAGTGTGGCATCAGTCTTACTGCTTCAAATTTGTTTCTTTTGGCTTAAATCTATTTCCTTGGATTTTTTTGGGGAGTTAAAATGGGTGGTTGTGCCCCAGTTTTTCGGGGTTCATGCCTTGGACTATCTCGACATATGTTTGTTTTGGACCTCCCAGCCAATCCAAGTGTTAATAGGCAAGGAATTATTCCCTTGAAAACCTGCTTTGACTACAATGAAGTGCCTCTTTCTGGTAAGGTCTCAGTGGCTCCATGAATCCCTTCCCCCTACAAGGTGTGAAGGTTCGTGGTCTACCAGCTGTGGACTGGGGTTAAGATTGCACCTCCTCTCCCTCGTTGAGTTCACACTACGGTTCATAGGTTTCCGGTTGTGTGTCATGCACTGCGAAGAGTTTGGATTCCTCTGAGCTTCATGCTCTAGCACCATTTGAACTATTTCCCCCCATGGTTCATTGTCCGAATGGAAACCTGAGAATGCAGCTGGCAGGTTTACAGGTAGATCAGAACCCCTCCCTTTTTTTCCTTGTTGCTAGGATGTTCTAAGGAACATAATTTAGAACCCTTGGGTTACTTATATATATGCTAGAAAGTTATATGTACATTTTCTTCATGTATTAAGACTGTGATACTAGCTGTAAAGTAAAGGTAGTCAAATAAGTGATGCAGATAAATTAGAAGTTTCAGTCTGGGATAGCCAATTGTCAAGAATTATAGATATTTCAGATTTCAGTGCTCGAACTTATGTAAGCTTAATGAGTTTAAGTTTTATTTAGTAACTGCTTTTCAAATTATTTAATTCATATTTTGAGCATTAAGTAATACGTAGTTAATTTGAGTTTACAGAAGTGATCAGTAAGGTCTGGCTATTTCTGGCCCCGGACATTGGGAGTTGACAGACAGCACTTGATATGCCCAGTGTGTGTTGCCAGTTGATTATTTGATTATTTCTTTAGTAAATTGTTATTATTTTTTAATAATAATAATAAAGGAATTTCCTGTCTCCAGTTTTCTAACTGCTTATCTACTGAATTGGACTAAGTGTACACAGATAACATGTTTATACCGATATATCACTGTGGGTGACAAGAGTTATGTTTCATTGTGTGTGAGTGAGGCTGATCATTCCATGTCGAGAGTGAGGCTTTGCCAGGATGATGAACAACTTGGCAGTGTATCAGTATACTCGATGTCAGGCCAGTATAACCAGGTGTGTTACACTCTGGCCTGATGGAATACCCAGTGACACTGCCCACAAAGATCACAGTACTGCTTGCCAGGCAAAATGATAAGTTGTTCTAAAGGTATATAGTCTCATCCGTGCACGTGACTGCTGTCACTTAAGGAAAATGCTGTTGACAGAGTTATGTAAGAGTAGAATGATGGGCACTGGGCTGCTAGTGTCTGAATGCATTTATCTCATTAGTGGAGGCACCAGTGACCTGTTCTGGAGTGAGCAAAAGGCCAGGGGGTACCATGTTGTGAGAACAGTAGGTGCGTTTTGGAGACTCGCGCCTCTACTTCACCCTACCCAGGGGGATATCGGGTGCTCAGGGAGTTGGCGAGAGTACCTTTTAATGTCATGGATGCACGAATAGGGAATATGTGTGTCATTATAGTTAGCTTCGGGAAGCCACAAGGAGCATCCCCCTAAGAAAACCTGCGTTAAATGTAATGAAATGATAATGTCTGGTTGAACCCCAGTGGCTCCCCAACACCCTCCCTGCAGGTCATCAGGAGGTTGTTACATCTACTGTACCATAGAACTGAGGGTAGAGGAGTCGGTTGACCGGGAGCTGCTGCCCCCTTCCAACCAAACGAGTCAGGAGGTAGGGCGAACAATCTGGTGTTAGTTTTAACAGTATCACTCGTTTTGGACACCAATCACATCCATTTTTTTCTCTTGAGTCATAGCCATGGACAGAACTTGCGTCCAATACAAAAATATTGTATAAAATTCATTTTTTATCCGATCGACCTCGGGATAGTTTCAAAATGAGCGCCTTTAGAATGCGTACAGTTTGGTACCAAAATGAAAGATGTAACACGAAACTTGATGTCAGAACACTTGAAAGATTATTAATATGTTTTTGGGTCTAAATTTTAAATTTTAAAATATTTGTTAAAATTCTATTTATTGTGCTATTATTATGGGACTAGTTTTAAAATGTGCACCTTTATATTGCAAACAATTTGATACCAAAACGAGCGATGTAACATGAAAATTGATGTCAGAACACTGGAAAGATATAAATAATTTTGATGATGAGCGTCCAAAATTAAAATATTTGTTAAAATTCCAGTTATTGCTCCATATTATGAGACTAGTTTTAAAATGCGCGCCTTTATATTGCGAACAATTTGATACCAAAACGAGCAATGTAACATGAAAATTGATGTTATCAAACTGAACGAGTATGTACATTAGGTTGTGGTGTGCTAATTGGTGCTCGTTCACGGGTAATTTTAGGCTTTGCTGCGGGGAGTCTCGCCAGGCTTTTGGACATTATATGCATATACATCTGTAGGGAATTTAATTGCGAACACAATGATACCAAAACGAACGACGTAGCACGAGAATTAAGGTGAGAAAACTGAAACGAGTATACACATTTTACTGATTTTGTGCGCTCACGGGTAACTTTTCCGACTTTAGGCTTTGCTGTGGGGAGTCTCGCCAGGCTTTTGGACATTATATGCATATACATCTGCAGGGAATTTAATTGCGAACACAATGATACCAAAACGAACGACGTAGCACGAGAATTAAGGTGAGAAAACTGAAACGAGTATACACATTTAGGCGTCGTCGCACGCTCGCCCGCACCATTAGCCCCATGACGTCAAAGTCTGCGGTGCTCACGTGGCGCGGGCAATAGTGTTAAATCCAGGAAGACTCACTTGTAATGAGTGTGAACCCGGTCTTGTGCTCTCTAATGTCTCATCACACACACAGTCAGGTTTGTATTCTAGTCTGAAAGTTGTATTCTAGTTCAGTTTTTCTTATATTTTAAGAATGTTATATATTGTAACTTCAGCATCAGTAATTATATTTTAACTTTTTAAGAATTTTGCAATACGATATACCAAATGTAATTTGTCTATTTTACCTTAATGTTAACTAGTAATTGTACAGTGGGATTTTGATATGCAGACTACAATAATTAGTATTGGATACATTTTATCAGATGAAATTGTTTATTTCTGTGAGGAGCCCCTACGGCTCTCCACAGAAATCTTATCTTATCGAGCTAATGTATGTTATGTTAGACCGGGACATTAGCTATGGAGTTCAGACCTACCAGGGACCAGTGCCAGAACCTGGCCCCTTCAGAGAGATTTCAGGAAGCAATGGCCCTGGAAAACCCCATTGTGGTTGGGGGTTTTCCTTATCTGCCATCGACGGGGGTTAGGCACCCAGAAAGGTAGGCGTTTCAAAACAAACCCCACATAGTAAGAAACTACAACAAAAACCGAACAGAGAGGTAGAAAACTCCCTACAATTCCAAGGAGACAATCAAACAATCAATTTACTGCTGCACCGGTCGTCCGCGCAGCCCTCCCCTCCCTGGGATGGGAGGGAGGAGGCCGGACCTCACCACGCCCAGCCTTCAGTTCGTAAGCTAGTATCAACCGGGATAGACGCTTCTCTGGCCTCAAATTCCTGGGCGGTGTTTGCCTTGTGTGGTGTTCTCTACTGTTTTTGTGTGGTGTGTGGTGGCCAGGAGTACTCCATCAGTGCCGGGGCTGCATGCGCTTCGGGGCTTTCTTCCCTAGGCACCCTGTGAGTACTACCACTGTGTCAGGGCTTTTTTCCCTGGGGCGTTCGGGAACTGTTCCCGTAGGGGTTCTTGCTTGTTCTTGTCTGCTCGTGAGGGGTGTGGTTCTTTCCAGATCGCCGGGTTTGGTTTCCTGGTGATCTGGAGGCCATTCCATCTGTTTCCATCCCTGTTTCGGACTTGGCTGGGTCTTGTTTAGGGCTCTTAGGCCGCTCCTTGTCATTCCCTCCAGAAGTGTTGCTGCAGCTGTGGTCCCGCTTTCGGCTGTTTATGAAGGGGTCCCGGGTTGCTCGGCGGTTGCTCGAATGGTTGTGCGGGAGTCTGAAATTCGACGTGCTGTCTGCCCACAGGGTCCGGTTTGGCTTCGGCATTGGGTTCGTCCTCCGTGGATCTTGTGTTCGTGCTGCGTCACCAGCTTCCTCTTTGGGGTTTTCGGGGTTCCGTGTATTGGCACCTCCCCAAGCCTTCGCTCAATGTGTTCACGGACAGGTCATCTCTCGGCTGGGGCTTTCTGACCAGTACTTACCAGGTCGGCCGGGTATGGTGGGGTCTGTCCATCCGTTGGGCTCACAGCACGGTTCGGGAGTTCGTGGCTGTCTAGTTTGCGCCTCGGAGGAATCGGGTCACTCAGTGCTCTACCATCCAGCTCCATTCGGACTGTTTTCTGGTGGTTCTTTGCCGGAACCACAGGGTTTCTTTTAGGCCTTTGAGTGGCTTGTTTGCTTAATTCTTGGGGTTTGGCCAGCCGTGAGGTTCATGTCCGGGGTGTGTCCTGCGTCCTGGCAGACAGCCTGTCTTGGTCCATTGTCCATTCCTCTGTTCCCGGATTGGCCAGTCGTCGCCAACTCGTTTCGTTGGCTTGCCCGGACGTATGGACTTCTGGCCATGGACATCTTCACGTCGGTGTGGTCTCTGTGTCTTCCCATTCTATGTGGCGCCCTTACCCGCCAGCGAGGTGTTCACGGTGGATTCCTTTCGGCAGGACTGGTCTAGGTGAGGGTACCTGTTCCTCTTCTCCCGGTCCAGCTGTTGCTTCGGGTTCTGGCTCGGTTGGAGTGCATTCCCTAGGAGAGTAGTCCTCGTGGTTCCTTTGGTGGTCGGCTCAGCTTTTTTCAGACTGCTTGATAGGTGTCCAAACCCGGGGCGTTTTCCTGCGGCTCCGCCTCTTTCAGCAGGTCTGACCGGTCCTGTATATGAGTGGTTCGGCCTTCTCCTTGGCTCTTCGCATCTGGTTTTTTGACGCTGGTGTATCACCATCTCTTTGGTAATCAGGTGGCTTCGTTGATGGTGTCCTACCTGCGAGCTTCGTCTTAGCGACAATATGACGTTCCTGGTGTTTCTATTTGCCATTTTCTTGCTCTTCGTAGGTTGTCTTCTCTTTCGCATCGGGTTGTCTTGTCCTTTCTTGGGTTTTCAGGACTGTTATTTGATATTTTTTACTGTCGCCTCGTATCGTGCTGCGCTGGTGGAGCCGCTCCGGCTTGCTTTCGGGGTGGACGTCACATCTGCCCCGTTTCATATGCTTTCTCGTGTTTTGTTTCACCTCCAGCCTGCTCATGCATCGCCTGAGCCGTCCTGGTCTTTGATCAGGGTGCCCTCTTATCTTCTTCTCCTCAGTTTGTCGTAGCCCCTTCGGTTCAAGATTGTTTTCTCTGGGGAGCCCCTACGGCTCCCTGGAGCTTATCGGGCTAATGTATGTTATGTTAGACCGGGACATTAGCTAAGGAGTTCAGACCTACCAGGGACCAGCACCAGAACCTGGCCCCTTCAGAGAGGTTTCAGGGAGCAATGGCCCTGGAAAACCCCATATGGTTGGGGGTTTTCCTTATCTGCCATCGACCGGGGTTAGGCACCCAGAAAGGTAGGCGTAACAAAACAAACCCCACATGGTAAGAAACTACAACAAAAACCGAACAGAGAGGTAGAAAACTCCCTACAATCCCCAGGAAACTAGCAAACAAGCAAACATCACACTTTACTGCCGCGCCGATCGTCCGTGCAGCCCTCCCCACCCCGGGAGGGGGGAGCCCCAGACCTACCGTGCCGGCTGCCAAGCTCCAGTTCGTTCGCTAATGTCAACCGGGATTGACGCTTCTCTGGCCTCAGTTTCCTAGGCAGTGTTTGCCTTGTGTGGCGTTCACTGCCGTGTGTTGTGTTGTGCGGTGGCCAGGAGTACTTCATCAGTGCCGGGGCTGCATGTGCTTAGTGGCTGACTTCCCTAAGCGCCCTGTGAGTACTGCCCTTGCGTAACAGGGTTATCTTCCCTGGGGCGTTCGGGAACCATTCCCGTAGAGGTTCTTGCTGCTCGGCATTTGCCTCGCCCTTGGGGCCAGCTGGGGCTTGGGGCCCTTGTTTGGCCCTGGGTAGGGATTGGTATTGTGCTGGTTAGGGCGTCAAGGTGTTGCCACCTAAACGGCGGCCGGTTTCTGTTGCCTCTGGAGATGGTGTACTTTTGCGGGGTTTTTCTTTTGTTTTTCATTTTCATGCCTGGTGGGGGTCTGCCTAAGGTGGTTACAGTTCCACTGGTAGTGTTTGGCGGCCCTCTGCTAGGCCCCCGTGATTGTACACGTCTCAGGGGTTTTCAGTGCTATAATCTACCCTCTTGTTTATGTTTGGGTTTCTTAACCGGTTAGCAACACCTTGCCCGGGCTTCCCGTAGTTGTTATCCTACGGGCCCTGGAAACCCCTGTCTGGTCTCGGGGGACCATTGAATGTGTCTTCCGGGTTCCAACCCGTCTTGTACGGGATCGTTGGTTGCTGTTCCCTTGTCTCCGGGTGACAGTCGCCATTTTTACCTCCGTCATGCTGCCTGTTGGGTCACTGACACCTTGACCCGGAGTCTTGCGAGTGATTCTCTGCTTGTTCTCCAGTACTCTCCTGATGTTTTACTGTTCAGAGTACAGGCGGCATCCGTGTTGCAAGCTAGGTTAGGTTGCTGCAACATGCTAGGTTGGTTTCCCACTCGAATGCCCCGTGGCCGCCCCGTTTGGTTAGGTGCTGCTCGCCCCTTTCCCTCCATGTTCCCGGCTCTGGACCGTCTGCGGGTTTCGGGATCGGGCGGGGTTTAGTTGCGACAGAGACTCGGGCGGTTTTCGGGGGCTGCCCCGTTCGGGTTGGGGACGGAGGTTTGAGGCTGTGCCTCCTGCCAAGGCTTCTGGGTCTTACCAGTGGCCCTTTCTTGTTGCCTTTCCCATGGACTCCTGCTTTTCTTTACGGGCGGAGGGCTTGGAGGACGGCTCTGCCCCGGGGCCTCTGTTGTTGGTTCCCGGGGCTGTGGGGGTTGCCTGCTAGCAGTTCTGGGGCGGTTTTGCCCCTTCCGGGGTTTTTCTGCTGTTGGGCGACGTTTTTCGCCCATCCAGTCTGCTAGCTTCCCACATTTGCTGGCGTGTTTTTGTGTAATTAGAGTCAGTCACAGCCCCTGCTGGCGGCCATTTTCGTCTGCCGGTTTCCCGGCGTGGCCACCAGGGCGGCGGTGCGGTTTGTTTACATGCGTCTGGGTGTGCGAGCGAGCGTCTCTGGTGAGTTTTCAATTTTTTTTTCAGGGTTTTTGTTCTCCTGTTGTCGTTTCTTTGTTTTTCTGGTGTTTTCTTGCCGTTGCCTGTTCCTCTGGGAACGTTTGGGTGTTGATTTTGGGTCTGAGCCTATGGGTTTAGGCTCAGTGCCCCTGGCTGGTATGCTTGCTCCCACACCTTGTCCCTCGGTTTTCGGTCTGTTGGGTCCGTTTTCCCAAGGGGTTCTGCTGGGGGCTGTGCTTTGCCTTTCAGTGGTGTTCTCCGCCGGCAAATGTGGTGGTTTGGGATCCCTCTGGTTCGATTCTGGGTTCCTTTGGGTTCCTTGGTTTCATTCTGGAGGTTTCTTCCTCTTGGGCCCCCTTTTGTGGGTTCAGGGGACTTTGTTTCCTCGTGTGACCCGGTTCTGCCTTTTGGGGTTCCGGGGTCTTCCTGGCTTGCAGACTGATCTTTTTGGGTCTTGGCACATGTTGTGGTTGTGCTGGGACTTTGCGGTTTTGCTGTCGAGGTGGGCCTTTTGATGCAGTTTTATGCCTTCTTTGCCTGGCCGGCGTAGTGCTCTCTGCCCACTAGTCGGCGACTTGTACTTTTACAATATATGTCCTCACCTAGTTGTGCTTGCGGGGGTTGAGCTCTGGCTCCTTGGTCCCGCCTCTCAACCGTCTATCAACA